CTGCGGTATTGACTGCCTCTGCCCAAAACTCATCTACCATTTGGGAATCAAGTAGGAGGGCGCAGGACATAGTGACAATTGTGCGAATCATTCTTTCTGCTACCCCATTCTTTGACTGTGTATATGGTGGACTTGGTTCAAATGATATTCCACATACACGTAGAATACCGCGAAAAAGAGAGTTGTCATACTCTCCGCGCCCATTATCACAACGGAACCGCGCGATCGGCCATTGTGGAAATTGCTTCTCAAGCTGCGCCTGAAGTTCCTGAAATACTGAAACAACTTCAGTCGAGGACTTAGTTTTCAGGAAATAGACCCATGTAGTCCGAGTATAGTCGTCAATATACAAGATAAAATACTTGCATCCTGAGTGTGAAGCCGGTACAATCGGTCCGCAGAGATCTGAATGCAGAAGCTCAAGTGGTCTACTTGCGCGAGGAGCAGCTTTGCGTTCAAATTTTCTTGTATGCTTCGCTTTGATGCAAACTTGACAGACCTCAGATTCTCCAGTCTGGGATCCTATTGAGTGGATAGATGTTGTGGGTATAAGCATCTTCAAAATCTCTTTGTTGAGATGGGCGAGCCGTTGGTGCCACAGCTCTAGACTAGGACAATCAGTAATACTAGTATGGGCATTGATCTCCTTGCCTTGAGTTTGCAAAGCTAGTATCTCTTTTGGGATCTCAATATAGTAAAGCCCGTTGTACAGCTTTGCTAAGGTATACTCCGTATTACTTGGTAATCCCAAGTAACAGGTCCCATTTCGAAAGCTAATATTATAGCCGCTTGAGAGTGATCCAACCGAGAGCAAATTGTATGTTAAATCAGGCACATACAAGGCCTCAATATTTAACTGATAGCCACTGAGATTTAGAGTAACCAGCCCGAAACCAGTAGCAAGCAGAGGAGAACTATCTCCTAGGAAAACATCTTTTGGGCGATCCAATCGCTTTAAATCTCTAAACCCATTGCGATCGTAGCACAAGTGGTGACTGGCTCCAGAGTCCACTATCCAGGTACCTTTATTCTCATCTGAGTACCTCTTCGCAGTTCCAACAAGGGCCCGCACGGAAGCAAAGGAAACTTCTGGGCTTCCATTTGTAATGTCAGCTTTAGATCTCTGACTACCTCTACTCTCACGATCTCTCCTTGAGCTTTCAGCTCGGTGCTTGAGGCGACATTCATTTTGCCTATGTCCTGGCCGCAAGCAATACCAGCAGGTCACCGTACTGGTAGAACCATTCCTTTGTGAATTTTGCGGTTCATTATGCGGACGTGTAAATCGGCGATGAGAGGCTGATGAACTACTAAAGCGATGCGGTAGCCGGTGGCCTTTACGGAACTGTGACCTTGCTATCTGTCCAGTAAGAGCTGTAGGAGCGGTCATCGTTGCGGAGGTATTTATCGATTCCCGTGTTTTATTGTTGCGAGTTTGACTTGCAGCTTCCCATTCGATCAACATTGCGATTACTTGATATGTAGATTGGTCCCCTTCTGGACGGTGAGTTATAATGTCAACTATCGAATCAAACTCTTGGGGAAGGGTAGATAATAGGTGACCAATAAAAGTCTCCTTAGGAATTTCTTGCTCCGAACCAGCTAACTCTTTACTACAAGCAAGAAGGTCAGTAATATAGTTTACGATTGGTTGGTTTTGCTTCGGACGAAGTTGATTGAATCGACGTAATATCGTAGTCCTTCCTGCCCGTGAATTAGCAGTATCTAGTTTTGTTTTAAGTTCTTGCCACATAAGGTGGGGATCACGCATCCCATGCAAGTAAGTCTTGATTGAAGCCTCGCAAGATGCATGAATCATTGCGGCTCCGATTCCGGCTCGACGATCAAAGTTACTACGGTTAGCATCAGGATCAACGGGCCGTATTTCTTCTCCCAGCACAATCAACAGTGCTTGCTCAGCTTGAAGAAAGAACTGAATATCTCGGCACCACTGATTATAGTTCAAGTGGTTTAACTTTCCAGTCTCTCCATACTTGCAACGGTAAACTCCACGATCATGGAGGGAAAGAGCCGTTGAGAGAGATGATACAGATTGCATCGGAAAAAGTGAATAGGAGAGGATTAAAGGAAAAACAATGATGAGAACGAAGGATAAGGCTTCTTATGATACTAGACCGGGCTCATAACCTGTTAGAATCTCACGAGTGTCAAGAGTTTTCAGCAGCGGAAGGTTCGTAGATTAAGTCTATCTAGAGAAAACAACAAGAGCAGGTGTCCTTTTATAGCCGCCCACTTCCACTGAGAGCCAAGCTGGGATCTCGCCTCTCTCTCAGAGCAAACAGTAGACGCGCGGCCTCCAGACAAGGTGACAAGGAAGAACACACGAGTAAGTATGAATCCATAGCATGTTGCATGCAACCTGCAACAACCCATCTTAAAGCAATACCAAGGAACATGCAATATACAACAGTAAGCATGTGGTTCCGGAGAGCCCGCTAACTGTCGCTCTTCCCTTTCCATTCATCCCTTCCCTGGTCGTAGTCTCTCCACCTCCCCGTCGTGCTGAATCGCAGATTTCCTCTATTCCTCTGTTCCCCGCGTTTCTTCCGCTCTATCTTTCAAACGCTTTTCCCCGTCTCTCACTACTTTTTTGCAATCCTTCACGCTCTTGTCCCACAGTTTCATCGCCTCTGCTACCACTTTCTCAGCAGCGTTGCGCATCGTTGTATCCGGGATTTTCCAGTAGTCAAATTCTGTGGGCTTCGGTGGCGGCAGGAAGATTACCGGAGGTGCTGGACAGAGACAGCGGAACAAGTTGCGGCAGAAAAAGCATGGTCGGGAATCATCAGCTCAGGCGCCACTGCTGTGACTTATAAAATAGACACCGGTGTATATCCACCAACTTTATCTCGTAAAATGCCTTGCCATCGGATATCGGGCCGGACTCCAGTTGTGTCAGCACCATCTCACCACCTGAGGAGGTAGTAGTTGTGCTAGGGTTCCCGGAGCGCACTCTAGGGGGAGAAGAGTTGACCCCGAGGTACATTTCCCGCGTCATTTCTCGTAATTCGCAGCCACCCGGCCCCTCCACCACCGTTTCCGCAAGATCAAACGAGCGCTCTAGATACGTTACCGCGGGTACGGGTTTGGGCGGATCTTTGGAGCGCCCGGGGGAGTATATGTTGTATCATAGTTCGCAAAACGCACGCGGATTTTTTTACCGCCTTGGCATGCCCGAGTTTTCGGATGGCACTGGAGCAGTTTTTCAGGCCCGAGGGATCAGTGAGGCAGCCACTATTGCAATTATTATAGTTGATCGATTCCGGCGCAGAGGGCGATTAGTGCGGAGAACAAACCCGAACTGCCGATGCGGCATCCAGCACTGCCCGTCGCAGAGGTAAGGTGAAAGTGGCGTTTATTGATAAACATTAGTGTTGAATCCCAAATTCCCTCTAGACCCGTATTAGGATACACACCCCCCACGGGCATATTGCGGTTAATACATACCCTGCTTGCTCTACCCAACTCTGAAATTCCGCTACGGTCTCTTGTCAAAGGACCGACCCAGACTGCCACCAGAACGCACCACCAACAGCGAAGCCCCAAATTTACCCATGCCAACCCCCCCCGACAGGGCCCACCCTCGGACTCAAGTAGACTCCCCAACCCAGCGGATATAACCCCTGGATGCTTCCCCAGAAATGGTGAATCGAACCCGACAACCCCCAATATCCTATGCCTGAATCCCCCCTACTCATCACTCAGCAACACCACTTCCGCCGCCAGAATCTCCATAAGAATGTCCGAGGAATGTTACATTTGTGCCAGGGTTCTCAAATTGCGCGAGCCATTTGGAAAGCACCTCCGTCGCGGGGGAAATTTGTGCCTGGTCTTGAATCCTGGATACACCTTTGTGCGAACGCGCCAGCCCAAGCCTTCTAAAGGGACGACCAACAAGCGGTGAAGGTGGGCGGGTGAGCTCTAGAAGCTCGTTTCGTTGCCCATGAAGCCATGAACGTAGACTGAAAGCTTCCACTTCCCCCCGACGAAATCCTGGAGCAGATATGGATGCCGTGGAGGTCTGCATTCTCGGGTTGTGATCCCCCCGCGGGCACAAATCTGCGGCTCCCGGTAATAGAGGGTCGCTTGGCGTTGGAAACATCGGAACAACCAGTTCCCGTGGAGTCGGCGGAGGAGGTACAGTACACCTGGTCCTGGCAGCCCCGCGATGGGACTATTCCTGCCGTCCATGCGTATTGCGGGTCCGTCCTCAGTCCGTCTCTCTCCCACTTTCCTCTAGCAAAGTCTACTCATGCCAAGTAATGAGGCAACAAATGGTCGGCTATGTCTTGGGATTACAAGGATGCCATGTGGGGTGAGGCTGATCGCCCTCTCTCAAGGTGGCTGATCCGTGTAACCGTCACGTGAAGCGCGAGAAGAACGACGTGGCGCTTCCGTTTATCATACTTTACCACCTGTATTACCAGTGCTATGATACCAGTATCATACATACTCCATGGTTTATTTCAAGCCTCATTCGACCGGGGGCATCCAGGGGAGACCACCGGTAACTAAATTTACTAACCAAGATGCCGCCGCTAGAACACAATACCGGTACAGCAATGACCTATGAGATTCCTGAACATCCCCCCCTACTCGGTGTTCATTATCACGCTTCGCGACCATCTACCATGAGGCACGCGAGGTACTTTTTTTTGGAATTATGTGACCCTGGCATAGATTTACAGTGTGAGAAGCGGAGGGCGGTGCTGTTCCAATCACTGGATCATGATAAGCATTGCCTGCTGCACACGCGGGGTACCATATATCGCCCACCCATAAGACTCGAGATTACAAATCACCGCCACCCCAGCTTGTGTGCCGCCGGCGCCCTTAAACCTACACCCCCCTATTTATATAAACTTACCACATAGGTTATCACTGTTCAGACATGGAATTGTGATCCTGATGAATCGAGTAGTGTGGTCGGTGCCTTCGGAGAGAGGGATCATGATTTTGGGTAATCCTTTTCATCAGGCCACGTAGTAAACAGTATCACCTGGTATATAAGATTGAATTGGATCTGTGTAGGATTCAGCTATCGAACTTTATCTATATCTAGGAGTCCCCGGAACCGATCGAAACTGCTAGTACTCTGTGTAAAACTAGAATAACATGATAAAAAAGCCCATAAATTAGTCTCTTACTCCTCCTACTTTCCCCGTGGCTGCAACTCTTCCTCACTCATCCATATCTACCTTTTACAACTACATCCGGGGATGACCACTACCGCAATCCCAGCCGTTGCTGAGACCCTGGAAGATTCTATGCTCAGCTAGCTAGTGCCTGAGACACAGGTTTACAAGCAAATTTTGTTAATCACTGTAAATCCGCAGATACACAAACTTCAGGCCGGACCTAACATTAGCCACAAGGGCGTACGTACCGTACACCTGCCGCAGCTCGAATATACCAGTAGTTTATTACCTAGCATTGCTCGGAAGTACTAAGCGGGAGTATTAGTCATCTCGGTCTTGGACAAAGTTTCTACAAGAAAAGGTTCAGCTGGATCACTACTTGTAGCCTAAGCGCGGGTAGAAAATAGGATCAAGTAGAACATCTTTCCCGGCATATCCCCTTTACATAATTCCTCCTTACGCAATCTTTTAGACTGGAACTTAGTAGGGCGAGAAGTGGAGAGCTATGCAATATTTCGCTGTTAATAAGGCAGCATTGGGCCTACTCAGTATTTGCCTCCGGAACCTCACTTCTTTCTAAGAATCTTCCAAACATGCCCTTGTTTTTTCCCGGATTTCACGGGTTTCAAGAGTGCGGACTAGCACTAAATAAGAAGGGCGGAATGGCGGATGTGTGACAGAAAAGAGAACATAAGTCATGGGCAATTGAAGGGGTTTAGGTTTTGTGACTTCCAATTGGCCTGGGATTGAACCTGAAGACGTTTTGTTCTCCGGTATAATACCCCAAATAGAAAAGGACAACGAAATCAAAACCGGGGATAGAAAAACTACTAGCACTAGTGGGTCGCACAAACCCCCAATAACATAACTTATACGGTCGAGATGGTGCGGTCGGGGTAGGTGGGGGGGTGGGATTCAAGTTATGACTCCCTCAATACAATTTGAAGTCTCCCCCACCGGGGGGCAAGGTCGCTGTTTCATTAGTGCGTTCAGAACCTTAGAGGGATTCTTCCAACTAACAAAGTGGGTGGGTGTATGGTCCTTGAAGTAACCATGGAATCTCACTCTTTGTGTTACTAAACCGTTCCCGCAAGCATGACTCTCTTGTTCCTAATGATAAGCGCAGTACTCGAGCACCAGGACACGAACATAAATCGCATCTGGGGCTCGGGTTTATCTGCTGCCATTCGTTCTATCATACTCACAACTTCTAATACTCACCCTACTTATTATTCAAGTGAGGTTGCTAGAAGTTGCTCAACATGGTCAAAGGCATCTGGCACTGGAATCAGAGTATGAGGAGTGGGAATGACATTGTGGATTGGATTGCGTAATTGGATATTGTGCACTGCGTGGTCTTGTCCAGGTCTGGTGGATGGGGTGTATTGAAAAGGATGTTTATGTTTGCTTCTCGCTTGTTTTCTCTTCTTCCGCTCCACAATATAACTCTCATCATTCTCTTGATCGGCCAAACTTGAAATGCACAAATCTCAACAGAGGTTAACTGTATGTTTTCAGCTCTTTGTAGCTTCTGTATTATCCCTCATTTGCTTACTCCCGATTTCTTCCCACAAGCACAAGTGCTCCCCACCCGGTTGTCGAAGTGCATGTTACCCGGTGTCATTTCTATACAGGACATTTATGATCACTAATACCTTCACGGACAATTATCCATGATGGCAAGGATTACCACTTGGAGATTTCGGAGCACCCGGCGCAACAATCCTGTCGGGCGTCGCAAGTCATCACAGAATTCCCTCCCCTCTAACCTTACGCCCTAAGACTGTACTGGCTGCAATAGCCGGCTACCCTCCTATTTCCCCCTTTCTATCGCTAGCCCCTTTGCCGAAACACTGCCCGACCCAGAGGCTCGAAAACCCGCAAAGGAAGGAGCGCGAGAGGAAGCTCTGATTGATCCCGCGCACACTTGAAATCCGGGGGCAGACTGAGTGGGTGCACATTGTGGGCTGTTCCTTCCGGGAGACGCGCACGAGAGGCCAGTTGGAGATGTGGCTGGGAGGACCGGGGGTTGGTGGAGGAGGAGGGTGCCAGGCGGGTGTTGGAGGAGGGGGTAGGGGGTGTGGGGGGCGGTTTGGGAGGTGGTGGTGGCTCAGAATGGGGTTGGGAGGGGGAGTGGCGATCCAGTGGACTTTTTTCATATATTCTAGTCTCTTAACTGGCTGCTAGTTATTTCGGTATCCTCCTGAAGGCTCTTGCGAAGGAGGTGATGTGCTTGGGTAGGCTATAGTACATTACCCCGATCTGTCATCTACCGCAATTTTCTGACGGAAGTACCATGCTTTAGGGGGTGCCGGGGCAATTTTCGACGTCTTGATAGGGGGGATATACCTCACAGCTCGCTCGGTATCATATCTACTGTAGATGACATTGGGATAACCCCCCTTCCCTTGCTCTCATGCTCATACCATCCGACCGTTCGCCTATTCGCGGGGATGAGGAAACATATTCAGGATTCTGGGGTGAGGGTTTTATGTACAGATACGGGCTCGTCATGATGTATAGCCCCGAAGGTCTCTGCGGTGCCTGAGTATCGTGTAGTCGACTGTTTGTGTAGGAAATCGGTAGTAGATCCTTAGCAGTGTTACGGAAGATTACTACGAGGAGGTGGATTATGTGATGACGGGTGTGGAATGGAACGGGAATAATTAATGTTGCTGTCTATGTGTACATGATTGAGTATAATGGGTCGTTCTGTACGGCTCTATCTGGAGGATGCTTAATGAATGTTAACAAATAATGGGGAGGAAGTACAAGAAGAAATTACAGGGCGGGGTCTAACCGGAGCTCCGAGTAGGGAAATGGTAAAGAAGGGAGAAAAAAAAGGTAGCGAATTTCTACCGGGAATCGTAAAGAACACAACTTACGAAAAGAATTTACAAATAAATTGGCAGAGGTCATTATAACGCTAATCTTTCGCTCGGAACGTGTTTGCTGAATGAGAATAATGCTGGAAAGGAGGAAGGAAGAATGCAAATGAGGAGAGCCAAGAGAGAGATGAGAAAGGCGATGAAGAAATAGTAGTCGAACAGAATTGAGAGGGCCGACCGGGTGCCGCTGGGACAAGAGCCTGTTCTAATGGGAGGATATAGGGGCTTCGGGGATGGAGTGCTAGGGAGTTGAGGCAACATGGACGGTTCGGTTGAGCACGGATGACTATCTGCGGAGTCAGAAACGGTATCATTAACGCGTGATACCGCTACAGGCTCATCGGGGTGTGCAGATGTGGGTGCAAGCGGGGAATCGCGGTCAGCGATGTCGGGATCGGGAGCTTCAACTTTCGCCGCCACGCACTCGTCCACATGCTCAGTGGGCGACACGAGAGGTGGGTGGGCGGAGGGATCCGGGGGGTTGGAATTGATTGTGTCCCTTTCATGTAAGAACTTTACAATCATATTACGTCGGTTGGAGAGAGCCAATGACAACGGTGTTTGGCCCTCGTTATCTGGTATGGTGGTGAAGACATCCTTCCATTCTAAAAGCATCTTTACCACCCCCTCATGCCCCCGGTTAGCCGCCCGCGAAAGTGGTGTCTGGCCTTTGGTGTCAACTGTATTGGGATTCACCTCCTGTCGCTGTAAAAGTAGCGTTACTATCTCATCGTGCCCGTTCCCAGCCGCCCACGAGAGTGGCGTTCGGCCATATTGGGTGTCGGCCTGGTCAGGATTGACTCCCTCTCGTTGCAAAAGCATCTTTACTACCCCCCCACGCCCGCACCAAGCTGCCCACGAGAGTGGCGTTCGGCCATGAAAGGTGTCTGTCTGGTCGGGATTGACTCCCTCGTGTTGCAAAAGTATCTTTACTACCCCCTCG